ATTCAATCTATCACAGTAAAAAGTTTTTTTTGTTTTTAAATCCAAGCTATTGTGACACCAGATCTAATTAGTGGCACTTGTCAGCGTATCCACTGTGAGCCTGACACAGAAGCTGGCAGCAGTGGCAGACAACTGACTGCTATTCAATCTATAACAGTGAAAAAAGTTTTTTGTTTTTAAATCCAAGCTATTGTGACACCAGATGTATTTGGTGGCACTGACTGGGGAAATGGGCACAGTATGCACTGTGAGCCTGACACAGAAGCTGGCAGCAGTGGCAGACAACTGACTGCTATTCAATCTATAACAGTGAAAAAAGTTTTTTGTTTTTAAATCCAAGCTATTGTGACACCAGATGTAATTGGTGGCACTGACTGGGGAAATGGGCACTGTGAGCCTGACACAGAAGCTGGCAGCAGTGGCAGACAACTAAGTGCATTTACATTAGATAGAAAAAAAAAATCCAAAAAAAGCATACCCTTATCCCTAACCTAGCTATGCTTTTCCCTATCTTATGAACAGCAGCTACACTTTCCCTCCTCTTACTAAGCATGCAGCTTGAGAATGAATCTAAAATGGATGCTGTCCAGTAGGTGGGAGGGTCTGCTAGGGAGGCTGTGCTGCTAATTGGCTGGAATGTGTCTGCTGACTGTGAGGTACAGGGTCAAAGTTTACTCAATGATGACGAATAGGGGGCGGGTCGAACCGCGCATATGTTCGCCCGCCGTGGCGAACGCGAACATGCTATGTTCGCCAGGAACCATTCGCCGGCGAACCGTTCGGTACATCACTATTGAGGGGTTGAGTGTTTTTTTTTAATGACAGTTGCAGGAGAGGAATCATAGTGTGAGGAGGGAAAGCTGTTAACAATTTAATTGATATGCTGTCCTGAAGAAGTGAGTTTTCAATTATAATTTTTTTTTGAAGGACTGGAGACTGGGTGAAAGTCTAATGGAGAAGGGAAGAGAGTTCAACAGGAACAGTGCAGCCCTAGAGAAGTCTTGAAGGCAAGGATTAGAGGTGGGAGTATGAGCAGAGGATAGATGTAGGTCTTTGGCAGAGCATAGTGGCCTAAATGGGACATTCTTGTGCATTAGAGAGGATAGGTAGGTTGGAGCATTGTGTAGAGACTTGAAAAACAAAGTACCAGAATTTTAAATTGAGCCGTATATGTAATGGGAATTTAATGCCGGAACTGACAAGGGCGGGGCATGGGAAGTACGGATGCAGAATGATGAGTCTCACCTCTGCATCCATTATAGATTATAACAGGCAAGTTGGGATCACATGAGACCACAGATAAATGGATTGCAGTAGTTAAGGTAAGAGATGACAGTGGGTTGGACCAGCATCTTAGCCGTGTGCGGTGTTAAATAGGGGTAAATATGAGCTATGGTTTTGAGATTAAAGCAGCATGATTTGGTGATCGAGAGGACTTGAGGGCCAAAGGAGAGGTCAGAATCAAGGAGAACACCTAGGCAGCGAGCCTGCGATGTACAGCTGATGGTGGTGCTGTTGACTTGGAGGGAGAAAGACAGTGGGGTAACAACACACGAGGGAGGAAAAACAAGACATTCTTTTTTGGACAGATTAAGTTTAAGGACGTGAGCAGCCATCCAGTTAGAAATAGCAGAGAGGCAGTCAGAGACACAAGTCAAGAGGGGCGATGAGGAGAGGACAGATAGATTGCATCGTACCTGCATAGAAATTATATTGGAAACCAAAGTAGCGGATGAGTTTACCAAGGGAAGCAGTATAGATTGCGAACAGTAGTGGACCAAGGACAGAGCCTTGGCGAACCCCAACAGAGTGGGGTTGTAAAGAAGAGGCCGAGTCACTGAAAGAGCGCTGAGAGAGGTAGGAAGAGCACTATACGAGAGCAGTATCTTGTAGACTGAGATTACGGAGTATGAGAAGAAGCTGTTGATGATCAAGAGTGTAAAAAGCAGCAGAAAGGTCAACGAGAATTGGGATAGAATAGAGTCCATGGGATTTTGCAGCGATTAGATCATTGGATACTTAAGTCACCGCTGTTTCTGCAGAGTGATGAAGCACATGTGTAATTTAATTTATTGATTGTTTTAGGGTACCAAAGAGAGCTCACCTACAAACATGGAGATGGATCATACAGTGCCTTTGGGGAGAATGATCAGGAGGGAAACACATGGAAAGTGATTAATTACTCAGGATAGGTTAGTGGGAAAATATACCAATGAAGTAATAAGGCAAAGTCATATTTGCTCCAGTAAAGAAATCTTTTTTGATGAATTTACATAGTTACATAGTTACATAAGCTGAAAAGAGACACGTATCCATCCCTAGTTCAGCCTTCCTTACATCTGTTTTTTGCTGTTGATCCAAATGAAGGCAAAAAACCCAGTCTGAAGCACTTCCAATTTTGCAACAAACTGGAATGGCAGTCAGATTTAACATAATGAATATTATGTTTTTGCAAGTATGCATCTAGTTGCTTTTTAAACAATTTGTCTCAGTCCCCACATTTTACATAATTTAAATAATTTCTTCTAACTTCACTTCATCCTACAGGTTGACTGCTTTTGTAGTAAAGTCTTTCAGTAAGGCCCGTCCCTACATCTTCATTGATGAAAGTCAGCTAACTCATTCTAAAACTTGGTTGAGAAACCACCGCAAAGACAGTGGCTGTTTCCGTAATGTGGGAAAACTCTTCCATACCGCAATGAAGGTAACAAAGGCTTCTTTAAGATTGAAAATATGCTGAAATTAAAGAAAACAATAAGAAATGTATTAAATACTATCAGAGTATAATTTTTGAGAAAATAATAGGAATACTTTTTAGAGATAGATAGTGAAATGAAAATATCATGTTAAACAAATGCAAAAAAAGAAAAGATAGCATACATTAGCTCAATAATCACATGTAGACAACTAACTCAAAATTAACTGCAAAGTAAAATAAGTAACACATTCCCCAGATAGATGGCCATAGTCAGAGGAATGAAACCAAGTTCATATGCTTATATAAATAAGAGGTCCTTGTAATGTTTTCATAAAGGGCTGGAGTCTAGGGAGAATGTCTCATGGGATGAATTACATTAATACTGGATGGCTATAGAGAAGTGTTGGCAGGAGTTGGAGGTGCAGGCATTAATACAGGAAAGGCAATGGGGTCAATGGAAGAGCAGAGAAAATGAGAAGAATATATATATAAATCCTCAGAAACAGAGAAATCCAATGCTTACGGAGTGAAAATAGCAGTAAAAGGCAAAAAGTAATATAATATGAAGAAAAAAGACAGCGTAAGAACGGAATATCTGATTTATATCAGTAGATGGTAGATAATGCAATTTAAAATAAGATTATGATATTACCAAGAAAATTTAGACTATACAATAAGTTGCGAGTAAACCGAATGTCACAAAAGTTAACAACTATGTCAACGTAGCTATAATAATCCTGAGCATAGACATCTGCAAGTTAAAGTGCCAAGCTTAATATTAAATAAAACAGAATAACACAAGGCACTCACGATTTAAGCCAATATGTTGCAAATTCCATGCAGGAGGCACAGGCACAAAAAAGGAAAAAAGGATCACAAAGTAGAAATAATAAAACACATAACATATAGGATGGCCTACTGCTACAGCAGCATAAGAAATACACTGGAATAGTGGCTAAAATATATACTATAATTGGGGGTTTTATATTTAATGTAATCATAAATATTACAATTTAACCCCTTAAGGACCAAACTTCTGGAATAAAAGGGAATCATGACATGTCACATATGTCATGTGACCTTAAGGGGTTAAAGACATAACGTTTACTTTCCTTATTAATGGAAAGGAACATTTTCCATTGCCAGGTACATGACTAAGTAACAAACTAAGTAAAAAAAGAAAACTGAAATAAATAAATGTAAATAAATCTTACTATAACTTATTTTCAATGGTGTATAGTAACCTTCCAAAATGAATATCCCCTTTATTGGTTGTTGTGATTGCCACCTTTTGGATTTATTCATTCCCAAAAGGGATTAAATGGTGGTGTAAATTCATTAAACTAATAAAAGCGTTTACGATTTTTTGGATTAAATCAAATCGATATTGAAACTAATTTTGTAATTCTGGCTAAACCAAAACTTATTGACTGAACCCAGACAAACCAAAATGAAAATTCTTTCAATTAACATCTCTAATAGATACCTTTACTAGAGCATGTAGTTTCATTTTTATGATGACGATTTTGTTACAGGGTGGAGTGGATGATGAAATTTCTCTTACGGCTTATGTAACAATGGCTTTATTGGAGTCAGATGTACCACCAGAGGTAAGTTATTCTTGAGATACTTAGGTGTCTCAAAAATGTATGCTCTGCTTATTGGCTATTTTTATATAAAAAAATGAAGGGTCAATTTACGATGGCCCAACTCTGTTGTTGGTTTGTTTGTTTGTTTTTTTACTTGTGGTGAAACAAATTTATTCCAAATTGATACTTGATCACATTTGTCTGCTAATACAAAAGAATAAAGACTGCAAAACTGCTCCATGGTAGACAAAAGAAGCACAACCCCATTCCCTATTTGTTAGATGGGATTGCTTTTTTTCTGTTCAAGAGAGATGATTTTATGTGGGGGCGGCAGGGGGGATGTAAATCCTTTGCCTTCTGGGACATATTATCAAGGTCAGACTATCTAGTGTATGTCATTGTAAAAAAACAAAACTTCTATTACCCTAGCAGACTTATGTGATGATGAATGGGAAAAGAAATAACACATACATTACAGGCACCTGATCCTAATAAATATAAGGACAGAGAAAGTTGAACCATTCTGCCACTCAAAGTGTACTGCTTATCCCCCTAAATAGTAGTGTGTATGCCCATTCCCTTTCTCTGAAGGAATAACCCTCCCTCCCTCACCCACTAGCTACATATTCTCAAGCCAGTTACAACCAATGCATCTAAACATCCACCACAAATCCAAAATGACAATAATATCACTTTAACTCTTTTACATTTTTGAGGAGGAGGAATACAACACAATGACCTAACAAAATCTTGTTTGAAGATCTTTTTTTTTTTTAAATTAAGTTGTAAAAACATGACAAAAAGTCACAAAAAAATGTTAAAAAACAACTCCCAATAACAAACTTCCACTAAAAAAACAAAAAAACTAACAGAATTATATTTTATATAATTGCATTTCTTTACTTTCTCTCTTTCAGCATGTGTGCCATTTTGTGTGTTTTAATTTAGTCTGAAACTCCGTGGAGAGTGTTTGGAGTGCCTGCCAGCATTGTACTGGAAATATTATCATATAATTTTCTTTTTCCTACTGTTTGCTCCACATATTATTTCAATGCAATTCTTGGTAATCCTAGAACCCTGTTGTGGCAGATGCTTTAGCTTGTCTGAGGAAGGCCGCTGTGGATGTAAATAACGTATACACACAGGCTCTCCTGGCTTATACTTTCACTTTGGCTGGAGACACAGATCTCAGACGACAACTGGTGGAGAAACTGGATAAACAAGCTGTGAGGAAAGGTGAGAGATGAGTATATAAAGAACTAATACAGAGTGATGTACAATAGAAGTTCAAAAGGCAATAAAAGGCACAGTAACTTAAGAAAAAAAACCTCTCAGTAGTGACTGATCCCCCACACTTCAATCAAAAATATAAAGGAAAGTGATAAATAAAATGAGGTGGGCTCACATCCAATACTCATCAGCTTATCAGTTTTATCAATCCTTTTTATGACAAAAATACAATAAAACATTAAAAAAAACTAAAGAAAATCTTAGTGCAGGTTGGCTGATATAATCTAGTGATCAAAATATGTGTAAAAACCCATCTAGGGCAAGTACAAGTATAGAAACCACTCCAATATCACAATTTGAAATAATATAAGTAAAGGTGTATCCAACCATTATCATACAAAGGATAAATACAAACTGACAAGTATAGTCTATGAGCTTACCTCATTTTATTTATCACTTTACTGATTATGTAATGTATTTTCTGTAGATTTCTTTAGTCAAAGTATTTCTTTTAGACTCAAAAGGTAATCTTTTTCAAATTCAGTCCTTCATGGACTCATCGTGTGTTAATACTTAGATTAAACATGTATGTTAGCGCTACAAAAATTAGTTTGGAAAACATATTTAAAGAATATGAACATGTAAACTTTTGTGAACTCAACAGATAAAGTAGAGTGGTCATGATACATATGTAACAAAATAAAATCCTATATAAATTCCATACATAGGACAATCCTGTGACATGGGAGAGTGGGAAAAACCATCCTATAGAGATTTCAATATTGCAGATGCTCTTATATTCCCCTGGCAAGTGTGCCTTGTTATTTGCCAAAGAAAATCATAGGAATGGACTGAAAGATGTCACTACATTCAGTTACCAAAGCGTGACAATAAAGCCACTATGTCAGCATTTTGGACCAGGTATGCCATGCTTGGGGAAGTGTTCCTAAGATGGCCAATTGTGTGAGTAGTGGTTTAACACCCTGAACTGAAATATAGATTATGATGATGCTGACATTAGTCCAGGTTGTATTTTAAAAGAAAAGCAATACACACACACACACAAACATATTAGTGTAGATTGGAATAGCCATATTAGTCCAGTAGACAAGATGACAAGATGAATTGCTTCAGACCTGAGGAAGAGAGGAAAACTCTCAAAAGCTTGTCTTTGAAATATTATGTTAGTCCAAAAAAAAAGGTATAATTGCATATTGCAATACTCTAGTATTTTGCATTATATATATATACACTGAACAAAATTACAAACACAACACTTTTTTGCCCCCATTTTTCACGAGCTGAACTCAAAGATCTAAAACTTTTTCTATGTACACCCCACCACCACCATCGGCCACTCGATCCACAACATTGACAACAGCAAACCGCTAACCCACACAACGCCATACACGCTGTCTTCCATATTCCCTGTAGAGTGAAAACCGGGATTTTTCTGTGGAGAGAACACCTCTCCAAAGTGCAAGACGCCATAGAATGTGAGCATTTGCCCACTCAAGTCGGTTACGATGGCGAACTGCAGTCAGGCTGAGACCCTGATGAGGACGATGAGCATGCAGATGAGCTTCCATGAGATGGTTTCTGACAGTTTGTGCAGACATTCTTTGGATATGCAAACCGATTGTTGCAGCAGGTGCCCGGGTGGCTGGTCTCAGACGATCTTGGAGATGAAGATGCTAGATGTGGAAGTCCTGCGCTGGTGTGGTTACATGTGGTCTGCGGTTTTGAGGCCGGTTGGATGTACTGCCAAATTCTCTGAAACATCTTTGGAGACGGCTAATGGTAGAGAAATGAACATTCAATTCACGGACAACAGTTCTGGTGGACATTCCTCTAGTCAGCATGCCAATTGCACACTCCCTCAAAACTTGCAACATCTGTGGCATTGTGCTGTGTGATAAAACTGCACATTTTAGAGTGTCCTTTTATTGTGGCCAGCCTAAGGCACACCTTTGCAATAATCATGTTCTCTAATCAGCATCTTGATATGCCACACCTGTGAGGTGGATGGATATATATATAAATATATATATATATATATATATATATATATATATATATATATATTGTTAGAGTAGTAGCTTGACATGCAAATAGACATCACATTTCAGACTTCCAATGGTATTTACGCAGATACCCTTAGGAACAGACACTGTTTCAAAAATAATTATGGTGATATAAATAATTTGAGAGGTTGAACATGATATTTTTTTCCATAGGGCAAATACAAAAAATACTGTTATGATATATAGAATTTATCACTATGGTAATTAATATATTCCTTTCACAAGGAGATGCTTAAAGTCAAACGTGTTTCATGTAAGAGAGGTCAGAATACTTTGGAACTAGCTTAGTTTAAATAAATGTTTTGTTAGCAATGTGACCAAGATGGAGTAGTCTCTGAACACCAAGAAAGAAAAGTCCTAGTTTATACCAATCTCTTTTTAAAGAGGGACATTGCTATGGCACTCAGGGCAAGACTTCCACTAGAATAAGCTGCAGGGGTTATTTTGCTTAGAGTGACCCTTCAGTCACCTGTCTAGCCCATTTGTTGCATCCGTACTACTTTTTACTAGTTGTTGAAATATTCTAGGGCTTAGCTCCATAACTTATTCCTTGCTGTGCAATCAAGCTCCATGTGTCCATTATTGTTGAGATGAATTATACTACTATATAAAAATAATGTAGTAAAAGGTTAAGCCACTGAAAACGAGTCTATCTATCTATCTATCTATCTATCTATCTATCTTTCTATCTATCTATCTATCATTAGTTTGTAAAATATGTCCATGCTTTTTAGAGAAGGACAACTACATTGGGAGCGTCAGTCTTCCACCTCTACCTCCGATAGTTCAATTTGGAATCATGCATCCTCTGCAGAGGTGGAACTAACCTCATACATGCTCCTGACCATGCTCTCTGGGCCCGAAAAAGACTTGAGCAGAGCATCAGAGATAGTGAATTGGTTGAGCAAGCAGCAGAATCCATATGGGGGCTTTGCATCTACTCAGGTAAATTAGGAGTTATGATAATTCACAGATACATACTATTAAAAGAAGATAGACCCACAGCAGATAAAATATTGAAACCCTCAATGTAAAAATAAATAGAGTGATTGCATGTGTAACAGCGAAAAACAAAAAAAAGGTACATGCAGATGTAATACTAATATTTGATACAAAATACATAGGAAGACAACATCCAGAGCAGGTACTGGCTTTTGCATACTTGATGGTTATTTACTAACGTAAAGTTTCTGATATTTAACTTACTTTTCTTAAAACACGTATCTTGTGTGCAACGTCTGTACCTGTGACAAATCTGTGGTGTTCAGTGAATTTTGCATGAGAAATTTGAGCTTTTTGCTCACTGTGATAATGTAGCCCTTTTGAAAATGAAGCTCTCAGGAATGAGGCTGTGGTTTGTAGAGACAATAAGAATTAATGTAAATTAAATATGACACACTCGTTGGGTGCATTGGTAAAAAAAAAATGGGGTTCTCTTGCAAATGTGGCATTCTAGAGCAAAGCTACATAGTGTGGGGGCAATGAGAATGAACATGTTACTATCAAGACATGATTTAGTTTCCAGGCACAATGCTATAAGTAATCAATTCTATTAAGTTCATTTAGGAAAAATACAGATTTTGTCAGAATGGACAAAATTCATTAAAAATGACCAAATTCCACATGCAATACCAATATTTACTAAAGCCAGATGCAGTCAGCATTCTGTTGGATCGATCTTATTCTTTTGGAAAATTACCAATATCCACATGTGAGCCAATTGAAAGCACAAGAATAATACATTTCTAAATGATTGCTTGGGGAACGATGATAAACCAATTGCTTGCTTTTTGGCTAATTAATTGATCATTTGAAGTACTATTTGCCATCTGGCAACACAAGCAGCCAGCAGGCAAACAGTTAAAAACCTTCTGTGGCGTGAGGATTAACTACCCAGCTGTGTAGAGTATATGGAGGTACAATACCTTCATTACAGAAGTAAGGGGGTTTTATTGACCCCCCAATAGGATTTTTATTTATTAATATTTTTTAATGTGCGGGTGTCAAGCAAGCATTTGCCAGTTATCATAAAATTAACCTTAAAGGACCACTATAGTGCCAGGAAAACATACTCGTTTTCCTGGCACTATAGTGCCCTGAGGGTGCCCCCACCTCAGGGTCCCCCTCCCACCCGGCTCTGGAAAGGGGAAAGGGGTTAAAACTTACCTTTTTCCAGCGTTGGGCGGAGAGCTCTCCTCCTCCGATCCTCCTCTTCTCCTCCCATGCGGCTGAATGCGCACGCGCGGCAAGAGCTGCGCGCGCATTCAGCCGGTCACATAGGAAAGCATTCATAATGCTTTCCTATGGACGCTGGCGTGCTCTCACTGTGAAAATCACAGTGAGAAGCACGCAAGCGCCTCTAGTGGCTGTCAATGAGACAGCCACTAGAGGAAATAGGGGAAGGCTTAACCCATTCACAAACATAGCAGTTTCTCAGAAACTGCTATGTTTATGAAAACATGGGTTAACCCTAGCTGGACCTGGCACCCAGACCACTTCATTAAGCTGAAGTGGTCTGGGTGCCTAGAGTGGTCCTTTAAGGATGCCAAAGGTTTTCTCTATTTGCCCAGAAGGTGGCAGTGCAGTCAGCAGGCAAATAGTTTGGATTTTTGAAATTCAGGCTCAAAGCATTTGGGTGTGGATTTGAAGCATTCAGTATGGATTTCAACCATCTTAGAGGCTCTGTCACCTCAAACTTACTCCTATTCTTTTAAGATTAACCAAGTTTAGTTAAATACATAAGACAACATATTCTCTTCTTTGTCTTGTGTTCTAAAGAGAACTAGATCAGAAACAAAGTAAAGAATAATATATTCTGAAAGAGGAAACAATAGGAGAAATGTAAATTTGAGGTGACAGAAGCACTTTAAATAGTAACCAAACGCAGGTCTTTTTAGGACCTGAATTGCAAAATCCAGAAATTGTTACATGGT